TCTTTCCCCAAACACACTCCTCACACTGGGAACTTAGAGAAAGCGATGCCCAGTATCCCATCTCTAACGTCTCCGGGATATTCAAGCACAAAACCATAATACTTGTGGCAGGTTTTAAATGTTTCCCCAAATAATTTTGCATTACTTCCCAGTGGGAGGTGGGGTCTACAGTAATTCCCACCTCTAATCTGGGCTATGACTCCCTTGTAACCAACATAACACAAATTTCAGGGCTATACCTGGTTACCTCAGTTTGCACATTCTGGGGGAAAACAAGCACCCTTTAAGAAGCCAAACCACCCTAAGAACACTTTGCTAGGGCGGGCGTGTGTAGGTGCATAACCCTATGACCCCAGCCGAGCTCCCACTGAGAGCCAGCAGCAACTGTCAGCCATGGGAGTGGGCATCCTGGGTGCCCAGCCCAGCTAAGGCTTCAGATACCGGAAATGTTTATGAATAAAATAACACGGAAACTAAGATCTGCATCAGGACAATGTGTAAAACACAGACGGGCTAGAGAAACAATAAAACACTGGAAGTGAGTTTGTTACTGAAGATGAGTGATGGGCACACAGATACATTCCATAAATGTCTTATATTCTATAAAATAAAAAGTTAAATTAAAAATAAAGAAGCTAAAATTCCAACTCAGATGGAAGAGCACATGATGTTGCTGATTGCTCCCTAAACTTCCCTGCCATCCAGGGGTACGTGCTAAAAAATACCAACTCTTGGGACCAGCAGATGGCATAATGTGTACATCGCTGGACTCCCACATAGTAGACCACAGTTCAAGTCCTGGACCTGGCAGCTTAAAACTCACGCCAGGTGATCTGCATGCATGCTCAAAATCCCGAGAGGACAATGGAGAAGGGACTGCGATGTGGCCATCCTCCCTGGGGAGTGATTTCTTGCTTTCTGTCTCCCTCTCTCCAGTGACCACAGGTGCCCTTATAGCAAAATAAATAAATATTTTAAAATAATAAAAACATCACTCTTGGGCCAGCAGGTGAAGTGGAGGTTAAGGTGGCTGGATCCCATGGCTGACTATGCAGTTTGAGTCCTGGACAGTGTCTTCAAAATCAGGCCAGGAACGTGTGCGTGGGTGCCCAAACTCCCGAGAAGGGACTGCAGCGTAACTACCACATGGGGGTGACTTTTCACTTTCTCTCTCTCCCTGCCTCTCACTGGCAAGTGTACATATTTTACGGCAAGTTAAAAAAGAAAAGGAAAAAAAAAAAAAAAAAAAAAAAAACTCTTTGGGTCTTCTGGTGTAATGCTACTCAAAGCTTGGACTCCCACAGAGCAGTACCAAGTTTATGTCCCGAGGGCTCCCTCTATAGGTGGAGGGCACACGTGCACATGCTGTGATCCCCATCAGCTGGGCCAGGGATCTCTCACAGCCCCAGGATCCTGCTGGGGATGCCCCTCTCTCCCACAAACAAACAAACTTAAAAACAACAATAAATTTTCTCTCGCTGAGCACGGTGGCCAGTGCCTGCAATCTCAGTGTCCCATGAGGTCAAGGCCGACTGTCCAAGAAAGAGCTGAGAGTGGGGGTCCCAGCTGGGAGGATTACAACATAAGACCCTACCATAGAAATTAGTAATCATCGGACAAGCAGATGGCGCAATGGTTACACTGCTGGACTCCCACGTAGTCGACTGCAGTTTGAGTCCCAGACCCAGTAGCTTGAAACTCATGCTGGGCATGTGTGCCCAAAATACCAAGAGGAGACTTGAGGAGAAGGGACTGTGGCGTGGCCTTCCCCCCTGGGGGGTGGAGGTGATTTCTTGCTTTCTGTCTCTCTAGCAGGTGCACGTGCCCTAGAGCAAAAATCTCTCTAAAAATAATAACAAAACCACGGGTCCAAACGGAGGCACAGCAGTAAATGTCACACTCTGTGAGGCTGAGCCACCTGGGAAGGTCCCAGGTTCACATCTGGAGACCTCTCTGAGTGCACCAAGTATACACATGCCCATGATCCACGGTTGGCTAAAGCTGGGGGTGGATTACGCTGTCAGCAATTCCAATTTCTCATGCAAGAAGTAAATAAACTTTAAAAAGTTTTAATTAATGAGTTAAAATTTTAATTTTTAGAAACATAAGACAATTCACAGGTCTCCTCCAAAACCTTCTGAGCCAGATTTTCACATTCTCTCATCCAGAGTTCAGGAAATCATGTCAGATAACTCAACAAGTAACTCTAGGGACCAGCAGTTGGCGTAATGGCTATGTCACTGGACTCCCACGTAGTCGACCGCAGTTTGCGTTCTGGACCCGGTGGCTTAAAACTCATGCCGGGCACGTGTGCATGCGTGCCCAAGATCCCGGGAGAAGAATGGAGGAGAAGGGATTG